TGTGTGAACAGATTTCTTGCCAAAAATAGACTTTTTCTCAAAAACGGCTAGACTGATTTTAAAAATTTAAAAGCCATTCGTTGTATCTTGATGAGGGCTATTGTTTGTCAGTTTTGTGCGACGATCGGTCAAGCCGTTTCTTTGTAAATAACAAAAAAGTGAAAAAAAAATCATCCCGCAATTAGCCCGCAATTCTGAATCGATTTTGAAAATTCAAAAACCGTACGAAAGACATTTGTTGGGAATCGTGCTGAATAATTTTTGGTAAAAATCGACCTGGCCGTTTTCTTGTACTAAAGAATTAAAAAAAAATTCTATGATTCTTATGATATTTTTTTGACGGTAGATACTATAGTCTTGTAGATCATACTAAAATATTACGGCCCTACGACAAGTCGTTTAATTTTAAAAATTAGTCAAAGTTTGCAAAAATTAGTATAGTTTTTTAGCGTTTGTCAAAATTAGAACTTCATCGACGTTTGCTCAAAAACGCCTAAAACGATTTCAAAATTTTAAAAGCCAATCAATGAATTTCGATGTGGATTATCTTTTCTCAGTTTTGTGCGACAGAATTCAAAACTCAATTCTGAATCGATTTAAAAAAATCAGAAACTGTTGGAAATATATACACTTTTTTGGAAATTTATAAAATATACTAAAATTTTACGGCCCTACGACTAATAGTTTAATAATTAAAAATTATCAAAGTTTGAGAAAATATTATAGTCAAAATTTGTGTCAAAAGTTGCTTTTGTGATGTGATGAGAGAAACATTATCAATTTATTAAAATTTAAAAAAATAAGCTACGATTTTGGGACATACAACGTGTCTGTGCAATATAATTAATATAATTACAGTTAATTTAAATGTGTTTAGTAAAATTTCTTCGATATCGCAATATTTAGATTTAATTGAAAGCGATACCTTTATTTTTAAAATAAACAGTTGAAAATTTTATCTAAATATCTAAATTTTAATTTCGATTTATTAAGTCAATTCCAACACATTTCGGGAAGTTCATGCAACTTGCCTTAAGGCTAAATACCACTTTCAACTAGTTAAGATATCGATGGTGGCCCTTTTTCACCCACGAACCAATAAACGCCGCTCTACACTACCCCACATAATAATAAATCGTTTTAACATTTTTACAAAAATAGGTCAAAATCCTGTCCCATGTACCATAAATTTAATTTCCCAAATCATTACTAATTTTAATAACGCACCATTTATTTTTACGACGAAACCTCACGTATTCCGCATTCACCGAGCAATGTGCATGTCTGAAATGCATATATCAAAGCAACCCTCTTAAATCTAGAATTCACAAAATCCTCCCCTAAACGCAATTGTCATGCAAACTCTGCTATTAGATGAGACGACGTCGGAGGTCTGACCCTTATTATTATTATTCAGACTCCCTGTTTCATGTAATTTAATAACCTCCGAGATAAACATCGAATTTCGACATAATTTTCGGTTGAACAAATGTAATTGGGTTAATGGTATTATGATATCAATTACGGATCGCCCCGAACTGCCAAAGGGTGGAGAAACGATTTTTGATACGGGTGCTTTATTTTTGGATATTGGGATTTTATAGATTTTGTATTGATTTGATTTACGAATTTTGGCAACGTAGATTTTATATGTTAAGACAATTATATATTTGTTTAAACATATGTTTAATATGAAAAATTCCATTCTTTTAAATTCATTCCCTTATGCTCTTTAAAAATACAATTCATAATGCATCTCAAAACAGAAACTTGAACATGTTTGTCTGTGATGAAATTTAGTGATGAAATAAGGTAACTCACGATATGATACAGATATATCGACATATCTACATTATTTTATGTTTTAATAATAATGAAGACAGAAATGGCACGACATTTGTTTTGCAATATTTTTGAACTAATATCAGGAAAAATTTTACCCCATCTTGGTCCATATGTATATAAGTTCAGCTTTTGCTTTTTATATTTAAATCCTATTATTTAACAGTATATTTTAAGTATGATACAATCCAAAGTGATCCTAATATTATCAATTTTCTTTTTTAACTTCCCGTAGGGCAAGTTATAGTAATCGCAAAAAAATCGAAAATGAAAATTTTTATATATCTTTACGTTTCAGAGGTTTCTGAACATTTTGGCATACCTTAGAAAAAAATAGATTTATGTATGTGTGTGTGTGTATGTGTGTGTGTGTATGTATGTATGTGTGTGTATGTATGCGCGGATACAAATTTTCGTCGACGATTTCGGAAACACAAATCAACCGATTTGAATAATTCAAAAAACATTCGATTTGTATTGATAAGGAGACGTGCTGATTAGTTTTTGGCGAAGGCAGGTCTAGCCGTTTCAAAGATACGGAGCAAAAAGTGCCGAAAACGGTAGCTCAGTTTTTGAGAGAACGGAGCGTCCGATTTGAATAATTAAAAAAACATTTCACTTGTATTGACAAGATGAAGAATCGATAAAATTTTCATGAAGGTAGGTCTAGCGGATTCGGAGATATGGAGAAAAAAGTAAAAAAATGAGCCATTTGGCGGTCAAAAATGATCATTAGACATATGCTCATAAAATTATCATATATTTTATAGAGATTTTAACAATAAGTATACAATTTGTTAACATTCCTATGGGTTCCGTACCAATGCTTATGCTTTAGACAGCGACGCGGCGCTTACGCGCTTTATATTTTGTCCCTATGCAGTTAAAGCAGTACGATTGATTGCTTTGAAAAGAAAGTTCAGATCTTCCACAATATGTCAAAATAAAAAAAAAAAATTTTTCAAAAAAAAAAAAAAATTAAAAAAAAAAATTTTTTTTAAAAAATTTTTTTCAAAAAAAAGTAATTTTTTGTCCAATTTATAGTTTCTCAAAAATCTTATGTTTTCAAAGTAATTTTTTTTTTCAAAAATGTTAATCGTTTTTAAAAAAATAATAATTTTTGGTACGGGAAGTTCCAGCAATTTGCCTTAAGGCACGATGCCTTAATTGCCTTAAGACAGAATTCCACTTACAGCTAGTTTTCTTTTAAACTGCAACATATTTCTATTACTAATTTTTTGCTCACATGTGACCATTTTTATTCCGCATTTCCAAGATAAATGTCGATAATAAGAACAACATTCCGTGTCTCCTCATATGTCAACGTATAAAGATATCAACAGAAATATTTCTACGATATATTTTTCAAGAAATAATACCATCACAAATTTAAACCTACCCACAGACAAATGCTTTGTTCGTCTCATTGTTATCCTCATGCTCATATATTTTATGACACAAAATTGGAATTCTCATGAGACATTTATATGAATGCAGAACTCACTTGAAATATATGTGACTATATGTAAGAGTTTGTGATATACTGGTGGAGATTTGATACAGCATAAATATTTTATTACATATTTAATAAATGTAATAAAATAATAATATAATAATAAGGGATAATAATCAATTATTTGCTTGAAGATATGTATTTTAGCATAAGTTTGACCAAAAAGTTTTAAATCAGTTTAAATAAACAAAAAAGATGAAAATTAACAACAATAGTTAAAGAGTGTTCACGGTTTGACCGAAACTCTGAGTTGAACCAAAAATCTCGTCATTTTTGAACTACATGAGATAATTTTTTATTGTAATTTTTTTCGTCACCTTGTTCCGACTTGATGTTGATTTCTGAGATAATATATATTAATTTCTTGTTAATGTAAAAATATGTAAAATAAACTCTCTTGTCATGAAGATCGCTAAACCAGCAACACTAAAATAAATTGGTATATTTTCATGGAAACATTTTTATTTTTACCATATATATACTAGATGAATTAACAAACGTTGTTCTGTACCCATGTCTACAATTTTTTAATATAATATACTAATATTTACTGTTTACCTAAAAATTATAATTATTGTTTTTCAAATTTCTCTTCACACCAAATTGCATATACATTTATAATATGAGCGATGTTAAATGTAGAACTGCTTTATGAGTCTTAATGCCCACACTATATTGGAAATTGAAGTCTTTTAAACAGTATAACATAAACATAACCATAACATAACACTGGTACTTCATGTTGGATTAAATTAATTTAATTTTTTATTATTTAAGATATCCAAAATTGGATCTTAAACTTCTCCTAATCGATATCGTGAGGGCCGAATTGTATGTATTCATCTCTACTCTTCCATTCGTTGTTAATAAGTGAAATAATTACGAATTTAAAAATATTGTGAAAAGATTAGTAAAAGATGCAAAGAAATTATATATTGAAAAAAAAAACTTTATTGAAAATTTAATATCCGAATCTTGTGTTGGCGCCCCCTAAGGCGTGCGCTTGTATTTTTCGCATGCATCGGATTAAAGATAGGTCCGGCCGTGATTAATACTTAATTTCATATTTTAACTGAATTAATTTGTCATATGTTGTTCATATGTATATCATTCAAGTTAGGTCAATAGTTTTTGGCAATAATAATGTAGACATTTAATTTCTCTTATTCATAATCCTAAATTTTTTTATACATATTCCAATATTGTCTAGGTAAATATGTAAATTGAAATTTTTCCATTTATTTCTACAATGAAGCATATACATCCCAGTACTTTATAATCACATACATCCTAGAAAATTTCCTTAACAAACTTCAGAAAGATTTATCAAAATCCGAATAATCGTTTAGAAGGAGTATACAGTGAGTTTGTAATTTAATATAAACTTTATATAATAGCAATAAAGCTCAAATTGATTCTACGTTTTAGTCAGAAAACGTTTGTATGTGAAAAAGAAAAGGGCTGTTTTTAGGGTTTTCCTGGCAATTATTCGATTTTTTCTCGCCGTAAGAACCATCCTTGGACTTCAACGAATATTTTAAAAAAAGAATTGGCAAAATTGGTCTAGGCGTTGTTGAGTTATACGCTTACCAACACATTTTGCGATTTATTTTTATATATAAGATATCTAAATTTTATCACTCACCTATATTATACATTGGCCCAAAGACCGCAGCATCTCCCGGTCTGCCCGTCGTCGAGCAGTTCCATCGCATTTCCCGGAACTGATGTTGGCATTCGGCCAGGGCCGTTTTGGCCCCATGACCGACGCCTTCCATGTGTTCCGGGTGCTCCAAACACAATTTGGTTTGACCCGGAGTCAATCCGGCCGTGTCCGAGCACAGAAGGGCCGAATCTCGGGCCACTCGGGCACCGGGCGAAGACGGCGTGGAAGAGGATAGGTCGAGCCAGGGACCTCCGAGACCCATCGAACTGTAAAAGAAAATATACATAGTATATTTATCTTCCCGTAGAGTAAATTATAGTAATCTTCACGCATATATTTTGCATATTGTTATGCGCCGACACTCTTACCTATTTACCGTCACATTTATGCCTCTATGTGCATACTACCACATGTATTACTCTATGGACTCTACATCTCTCGAGTTCCACTCTACATTCTATGCACTCTATATTTCCGGCTGGACGGAGGACCTCTACAATTATCACAAAGGCACATTCTCTCTCTGGACTCCAAAAGAAACACATAACCTTATAATAACGTTTAATGAAGTTCTGTATAATAATATCTGTAGTCTGTAATAAATCTATAAAACTTGTGTTGTGTTTTAAAATACCAAAATTACCTCCATCGCTGAAGGCAAATACTTAACAATATCTTCACGTTTTGATGGTTTCTGAACATTTTGGCATACCTTAAACAAAATGGATGTATGTGTGTGTTTATTTGTGTGTTTATGTGCGGATACAATTTTCTGTCGATGATTTTGCGCTTTGATATTCAGACTCCAAATCAGCAATGCAGAGCGATTGCTTTAAAAAAATGTTCAAAATTTTCAACAAAAAAAAAACAAAATACAGAAAAAAATCTAATTTTTCAAAAAAGTCAATTTTTTTAAAAAAATTCAAAACTTCTCAAAAACATAATTTTTGTAAAGTTTTTTTTCTAATTTTATTTTCGGTACAGGAACTTTGCCTTAAGGCACGATGCCATGCACTACTAGTTGAGTTCAATTCCATATACTTATATCGCACATACATATGTCCTAGTTTCCTATAAAACTATCTTCAGATTTTAAAATTCAAACTGTTTAATTTTTGCAAAAAGTGCTCTTCTAATTGTTCAATAGAATAATGGGAAGGGTGGACAACCCTTAATAAAATAAAATTTTTCTGTTTTCAAGTAAAATTCATGTTTTATCATAAGTAAAATATGTGAGACTAAATCTTTAGGGCAATACATAAATTAAAAAATCGTAGATTTTTTGGCGTCAATTTTCATTATTTTATGTTTTTTTAATGCAGGATTAAAAAAAATGCACACAACAGATTTACTTTTTTCTCTAATTTACTTTTCTATACTTCGAAATTGAAAAATACATAAAATACATCTTTTTACTTAAAAAACACTATTTATTTTTATCAAGGGTGTCTATTCCTAACTTTTTTTTAAATTTTGCAACCAATTTACTTTAAATTTCAATTTTTATAATGCGGAATTAAAAAATGCATACAACTCTAAATACCCTTTTTCCACAAATCTTCATTTCTTGATATCTAAATATCAAAAATCGAATAATTTTTTAACACGCTTCTAGTCAGTGATTTTTTTTTACTGAATTTTAATTCATATTTAACTAACCTTATGATAAAGCATGAATTTTACTCAAAAAAAAAAACAATTTATTTTTATTATTTATACAAATATTTCCCGATGCGCACAAACAGTACAAAATTTTTAAATGGATTGCATAGAGAGCACATTTTGCAGAAAATTGAGATATTGAATTTTAAAATCAGAAGATAGAATAGTTTTATAGGAAACTAGCCACAATACAAATCTATGGCAAAGCTGTAAAATTTTCCACTCTCTTAATTTTTTTCAATCTCTGCCAATTTGCTGTGGATGCTACATAACAATATAATTTAATAATAAATGATCGGATTTTGCTTTGTAATTAAAAAATCATTGAATTATTAAGAAGCACGGTTATAATATATAAAAATCTTGAATCTTTTAATGTGCCAAATCAATTTAAATAAAATCGGTTTGAGATTCGGTTGGCACTTGCAAAGACTATTAATATGTCACAGGAACATTTATATGTGGCATGCTTTGCAGTGAATAAACTATTGATATATTTTTTGTTAGCTGCTCCTTTTACGTATATACCACGCTTGCAATCAGTTATTAGTATACTAATCATTTTATACTAGAAATAATTTTTATGATAAAACAACGTTTGCCGGGTCAACTAATATATATATATATATATATATATATACTACTGATGCAATCTCCAACTGCAATTTTTTATTCCTCGTAATAAAACGTGTCACCTGGATTTATTTATACTAAAACTAAATGATTTCAACACGCAATTTATTTTATGGCTCTTAAATAAAATTTGCATAAAAAATCGATCAAAGTTTTATCCAAATATCTTGCCGACACCGTATATGGGTCTCTTGATAAATAAAATAAATTTGCACCACCAACGTTTGATAAAAATCGGATAAATGTAAGCTTTAGAGCAATAAATTGTTTTTTACATGATAAAACTAGTTGGTTTGGTATTTAGCCTTGAGGCAAGTTACATGAACTTCCCGAAATGTGTAAATAATCGACTTAATCAAAAAAAAATGTGTAAATAATATACTTCATTAATCCTACTTTAAAAAAAAAACGATAATAATTTTAGCAAACTTTGACGAATTTTTAAAATTAAACTACTTGTTGTAAGGCCGTAATATTACAGTAAGTTCTATAAGACCATGATGTATATCGCCAAAAAAAGTTTCATGAAAAACGGCTTAATTTTTTTTTTAACAGTTAATTACAAGAAAACGGCTCGGTAGATTTTCACCTAAAATTAATCAGCATCATTCCCAACTAATATCTTTCGAACAGTTTTTGATTTTTTAAAATCGGTTCGGTAGGATGAGCTTAAATGTCGACGAAAATTTAACACTTTTTGTCAACAGTTAATTACAAGAAAACGGCTCGGTAGATTTTCACCTAAAATTAATCAGCATCATTCCCAACTAATATCTTTCGAACAGTTTTTGATTTTTTAAAATCGGTTCGGTAGGATGAGCTTAAATGTCGACGAAAATTTAACACTTTTTTTCAACAGTTAATTACAAGAAAACGGCTCGGTAGATTTTCGCCTAAAATTAATCAGCATCATTCCCAACTAATATCTTTCGAACAGTTTTTGATTTTTTAAAATCGGTTCGGTAGGATGAGCTTAAATGTCGACGAAAATTTAACACTTTTTTTCAACAGTTAATTACAAGAAAACGGCTCGGTAGATTTTCACCTGAAATTAATCAGCATCATTCCCAACTAATATCTTTCGAACAGTTTTTGATTTTTCAAAATCGGTTCGGTAGGATGAGCTTAAATGTGGACGAAAAGTTCAACACTTTTTTTCAAATTACGAAGAAACGGCTTGGCAGATAGTTGCACAAAACTGACAAACGATAGTCCTCACCGAAATACATCAAATGGCTTTTAAATTTCTAAAATCGGTTCAGGCGTTTTTGAGAAAACGTCGATCAAAAGTCTAATTTTGACAAATGCCAAAAAGACCATACTGATTTTTGCAAACTTTGACGAATTTTTAAAGCTGAACCAGTTGTCGTAGGGCCGTAATATTTTAGTATGACCTAGAAAACTATGGTATCTTTCGTCAAAAAAATAATCATAAAAATCGTCAAAATTTTTTTTTTAAAAACTTTATTACAAGAAAACGGCCCGGCCGATCTCTACCAAAAACTAATCAGCACGATTCCCAACCAATATCTTTCGAACGGTTTTTGAATTTTCAAAATCGATTCAGAATTGCGGGCTAAAACGTAGACGAAAAATTTTTCACTTTTCTGCCATTTATAAAGAAACGGCTTGGCCGATCGTCGCACAAAACTGACAAACAATAGTTCTCGTCGAGATACATCGAATGGCTTTTAAATTTTTGAAATCGACCCAGCCGTTTTCGAGAAAACGTCGATTTACGGCAAAAAATCTGTTGGTGCACACGCACACACACACATACACACACACACACACACACACACACATACTTTTTCCAAATTTGGTCTCATTCGATTCAGAATGGCTTGAAACGTCGAGAAAACATAAAATTAGCGAATCGGATTTTTTGATGAAAACATAAACTTCTCCTTCGGGAAGTTAATTATTGTTAAAATATACAACTGCTAATGTGCTAAAATATATTATATAAGATTTTAAAAATATAGGAGAAATCTAAATTTTATACTGCTAGTTGAAATTTGATATGATAATCTATATGAATTTATTGGATAAATATAAATTATATTTAGAACTTATTAACTACGTGGTGTTAATAAAACGATTTATGAGTCATTTTATTATTTCCAAGTTATGAATAAGTATATAATAATTCCTCAATCAATGTTTTCATCAGCAATATAAATCTTTCCTAAATACCTTGATTATGAGTAATTCGTAATAACCTGATTTCTGATATCAATTGTTTTCTAATAAGAATCCGACAACAATCAAATAACAATTTAGAACAATGACGCAACTTCAAAGATTATATCACGAATACGGACTTTAGATTAATTGTGATATTTGGAAATAAATTTAAGATTTTGTCTAAAATAGGGCTGACAAGAAAATATTAAAAAACTATTTGGTATTGGTATTTTTCCTTGAGGCAAGTTACATGAACTTCCCGATATGTATAAATAATCGACTTAATCAGTAAAAAATAAATAAATTTATGAGTGATTAAAAGTATTCTGAGTGGATTTATTACACATAATTGAAAACGAACGAACACGGAGTATTTTCTAAAAGTAAGTTTTCAAAAATCAATTATTTTTATAATTGAACCAGTTTCCGTAGGACTCTAATGGTTTAGTATGTTCATTAAGACCAAGGACTCTATCGTTATACTAATTAAATCGACTAATTTTAATTATAACAAACGCCAAATATACTACTGGTTTTCTCAAACTTTGATGAATTTTTAAAATTAAACTACTTGTCGTACGGCCGTAATATTTCAGTAAGTTCTATAAGACCATGATATATAACGCCAAAAAAAGTTCCATAAAAATCGGCTTAAATTTTTTTTCAACAGTTAATTACAAAACAACGGCTCGGTAGATTTTCGCCTAAAACTAATCAGTATCATTCTTAACTAATATTCTTCGAACAGGTTTTGATTTTTTAAAATTTATTCGGTAGTATGAGCCTAAATGTGAATGATAATTAATTAACACTTTTTTCCAAATTACAAAGAAATGGCTTGGCGGATCGTCGCACAAATCTCGATAATCCTTATCGAGATACATCAAATGGCATTTAAATTTCTGAAATAGGTCCAGCGATTTTTGAGAAAACATTGATTTACGGCAAAAAATCTGTTTACATACACCACACATACATTTTCCAAATTTGGTTTCATTCGATTCAGAATGGCTTGAAACGTCGAGAAAACATAAAATTAGCGAATCGGATTTTTTGCACACAATGTCACACACCATGTGCGTTTTTCGCAAATTTCATTACTCCTTAAACAAGTATTTTCTACATCAGCTTGATCTAATAAAATTCCTACCTCGTTACTTATTAAATACCCTTTATCCTACGCTAATTAATTTTAATTAAAGTCTCATCCAGTTTTATCCTGGCAAATGAAAATAAACTACATATGTCCCCCATACCTACTGGATAAATGGGGGATAATTAACGATTGCATGCGCAAGTCTTCTAAATCTTTCTACAATGTCATGGCAGTTAATTCCGGAGCAGCTCCGGGCAAACAGACGTATAACGGACAACAGCATTTGAATAAATAAATAAATAATATAAATAAATGATATATTGCAACGGACGTGTATAAGTGGACTGTTTTGCATATTCTGTTATATGTCGATTGAAAATAATAATTATTGCTTTGGAAATTGCCGAGAAACTACTTCGTTAGCAAGTAGCATGGTGTCATTGTTGAAAATATTAATCATTCGGTTTCTTTGCGAGCATTGGAAAGCATGAAGTGCAAATCGAATTGGTAAAGCTTTTCTGAACAACATTTGCATTTATAGTAGATGCAACAATTTCCCTTTTGGAATCGGTTTCTTGTACTTTATTCAAAGCCAATACATTTTTTTTGTTAGTCAGTTGGATGATAAACTAGGTTTATGTGGCATAATTAACTTCGCAAAGGAAAAGTTCATGTTTTTACCATAAAATCTGATTTGCTAATTTTATGTTTTCTCAACGTTACAAGTCATTTGGAGTTGAATTAGAGGCTACTTGTCCACAGGTATACCATATATGAATTAAAAAAAACGATTGAATCAATTATTTATCAGGAAACTTATGCAACTTGCCACTAGACAAAATGCCACTTACAGCCAGTTTATATTTTAACCTATGTGTACGAATTACGCCTACAGATGACTTTACTTCAATATTTATCACTCTGAGGTAAATTATTAGAATTTTTAATGTATTATTGAAATATTTAGTAGACAAGAAGGCAGATATACAGGTAGATAAATAGACATAAAATCAGGTAAACAAATAGAGTGTTAGATAGGTGGAGAGGTAAACAGTCAGACAATACATATATATTTTAATACACTGATATAAAAGTATATAGGTAGACAGGTAAACAAGTAAAGTTATAGATTAGTTAGATATACAGAGAAGTGGGTATATAAAGAAGTAGTCAAGGAGACAGGTTGATAGGTAGACAGGTAGACAGATGGATATTTTGATAGATGGACAGGTTGACAGATGGATATGTTAACAGATGGATATGTTAACAGATGGACACGTTGAAAAATGGACAGGTTGATGGGCGGACAAGTTGACAGATAAACAGGTAAAAAGGTTGACATATAGACTGGTTGACAAGTAAACAGGTTGATAAGTAAACAGGTTGACAGGTAAACAGGTTGAAAGATAGACGATTTGACAGGTTAACAGATAGACAAGTTGACAGATGGACAGGTTGACAGATGCACAGATTGACAGATGGACAGGTTGACAGATAAACAAGTTGACAAATAGACAGGTTGACAGATAGACAAGTTGACAAATAGACAAGTTGACAGATAGACAAGTTGACAGATAGACAAGTTGGCAGATAGACAAGTTGACATATAGACAAGTTGACAAATAGACTGCAGTTCTGCTTGAATGCAGACATGTTAACAGATGAACAGATTGACAAATAGACAGGTTGAATGCAGACATGTTAACAGATGAACAGGTGGACAAGTAGACAAGTTGATATATGGACAGGTTGACATATGGACAAGTTGACAGGTTGCCATATGAACAGGTTGACAGGTAGAAATATAGAAAGGTAGCCTGGCGGAATGATAGACAGGTTGACAGGTAGACAAGCAGCTGAGTAGGTTAACAGGTAATCAACTAAACAGATAGAAATATAGGAAGATAAACTAGTAGAATGATAGACTGATTAATCAGGTAAACAAAGAGATAAAATAAACTGGTGGACAAAGAAGCAGACAGGCAAATATAAAGATAATCACGTAAACAGATTGAGAGATAGACAAAAAAAAAACAAGTAGGTTGCTTTAAGTAAAAAAAACTTACGAATTTCTGAAGTAAAAGTTCATATTTATACTAGAAAATCCGATTTGTTAATTTTATCGATATCAATTGGAAATCACAATAGTTATTTCTAGTACACAACAAAAACTTGAAATAACAGAATTAAAGTTTTGATCAAAACAGCTAAATCTCAATTCTTATAGATTTAAGACTCTTATTCATAAAACTTGCCTCAAGGCTACATCTAATTTTATCAAAATTTTGATAAATTTTTCAATTGAAAAAAAAAAATACTAAACTAAAACAAATATTATAAATGCATAACTCAAAAGATGTCTTGATATTATGCAAAACTCTTGGTGCAATTATTAATTTTTATCATTAAGAAGATTTATCATGACTCATATTTTATAAATACTAATTTCTCAGAATAAAAGTTCAACATTTTTTCTCAAACATGAATCACATCTAGATAAACTAATGATCAACCCTGGTCGAGATAACTCTCGAATATATAAACCATCCAAAACTTCCACACACATCATACAGTATTTTCCACTCATCTAGTCAACAATCTAGTCCAGTCCACAAAAATGTTCACCAAACAAGTACTAACATTAACAATTCTAATTGTGACAATATCTTTGGCACAATCCCAAAGTCACAACGCCCAATTCGGATACCGAGTTGCCGGAGACAGATTGCTCTACTCTACAATTCAACACAGAGAATTCACCACTTTGGGAATTGTCAAGAAGGATGTACCATTCCCTCCAGAAGGACACACCAATTCGGCCATCATAACATTTATTAATGTTACTGACCAATATTTGGATGATAATGGTGGTTATGCAACTCTTCTTGAAGGCGGAGTCAACTATAATCACACGACTGTGCATTTGACCAGCCAGAGGGGACATTGTTTTAATTTCCAAATTGATATTTATGGAATGTGATGAGGATAGAGGACTGATTTTTTTGTACTTTTGATTTGTATGTAATAAATTTTATTAAAAAATAGAAAGTTTTGTCATTTATTATAAATTAATATGATGTGTGCTTATCCTACATCTTAACCTGGTATTTTTCTCGAGGGGGAAACTCAGCGGGCTTTTTATTTTCCACTTTTCTATTTTACATTTTACTCACACACACACACACATATATATATATATATATACATATTACATTTGTATATTTAATAGTGTTGGTTTTTATATGTTGCAGCAATGCCCACCAAAGGCGATTTTGGTTTGAGATTGTGTTTGAGATTTCGAGATAACCTTAAATAGAAATTTGATATCATACTGCTCGTTATCGAGCTAGTTGGGATCGACGTTTAAATAACAATAGTTTATTTTTTTATATTTGACTCTTATTTTATTGTTATGCAACTATTTGGTGCTTTTCTTATTTTTGAACAACAATCAGAACTTTTCTATGACAACTTTATATTTTAGAATACAACCATGGTTGTTATAATTGATATATTTTTGTATCAGAAATATTTGCACTAGAAGACATATTTGTTTGCACTAAATGACATATTTAAAATTCTTTTTTGCAATTTAATCAAAATTTGGCTATATGTCAAATTTGTCATACTTTAAATAAGAACAGTGTAATATTTTTCTAAATATATACGTCATGATCTAAAATATGTAATGATGAAGTATAATACCCAAGGGTAGACTTATATACCAATACATTATTATGTTGTAATCATTATATATATTGAAATATATCTTTGGAGAAACATTTTCATTTTTTTAATTTATTAACATATTTAGTAGAAACAATTTTTTTTAGATTAATATAAGAAACTAGTAGTCTATGGCTTTAAAACAAACATATTGATTTAATTTTGAGCTTGAAACATTTTTGGAATTTAATTTGGAAACAGCATTCAACCGCAAAATAGAATAATTTAAATTATTTATAATAGTATATCAGAACTATGTAAATAAGGGAAATATAAAAAGTCTAAAGAGTATTAAAAAAGGTTTGAAAAAGTATAAAAATTATTCAAATGTTGCTGATTAATTTGATACATTTTTAGTTTTATGACCATGCAATAAATTTGTGTCTTATTTTTTGTCTATTTAAATTTTGTTTATTTAAAAAACAGCTATATTTAAGAACTACATTTTCAATATTTTGAAAATTATTTTTATGCCTCCTGGCTTAATATCAAATATATTTCAACTAATTGAGCATTCACAACTTTAATATTTTGAACTAAAATATTTGCCAATTTTTTTATAAATTTTTAAATATTTTTTATACTTCCACGCACCTAATTTCTAATATTTTTTGACCTAAATTTTAGAAATAATTCAGGAACTTCAAATCTAAACTTTAGAAAATTTAGAAAAAAATCACTTTTAAAATATAGAAATATTGAACATTATTTATTCTTTCGATAAGATAAGCAAAATCGAAATTTATGTCAAAATATATTATAAATATATTTATAGAATTAAATGAAAATTGCTTTGAATAAAAACATACATTTTTTCAATCAAAGCAATTTTTATTATGTACAAAAGTAAGTTATATTCAACAAATTTCATTAAATGTTTAAATAAAAAATGTATAAAACTAGTTTTTTGTGTTTTTACCAGTTTCTAAAACGTAAAAAAAATATAAAAAATAATCAAATATACAAATAGTTATTTATTATATATAAATAATTATTTACATATTCATTTCAAATTTCATATAATTCATACTACTATCAAACAAATTAATCACAAAAATATCAATATCAATAAAACTCATTTTGATTTCAAATGTTAATTAGTATATTCCAAACATGTTTATCAACATTGATTGATATCTAACATTTACACGTGCGATTAATTATGAATCATGATCAAAATAATTGAATTTTGTAATACAAAGATTTTGTACCTATAAGCAATTGTGATGATTTTCATCTAACTCTGTCAGGAGGCAACCCAACGGTTGTCTTATCTCTATGTAATAAATTATATTATTACTATTTTTGTAATTTTAATGTATTTTAATTGTAAACGTTGTGCTAACTATATTTCCAAGTAAAACCAGATGTTACTACTGCTTGACATCAGGTTGTCCCAGACGGGTATCGAGTTTACAACCTGGTTGGAAGAAATATGGATCTAACCACTAGACCACGGGGAAGCCGACAAATATAAATAAATATAATATTTTACATTGGTTCATTATTACATTAACTAATTAGTATTAATCATTATTCAACTTTCTCAAATACTTCGTTGAGTTGATTCATATTAATGTAGCCCTTGGCATGCATATCAAACATTGCACACATTAAGTCCAGATTTTCTTCCTGTTTTCGAACTGCATATAAGAACTAAAATAAAATATTTATATCTAAAATAAATATTTTTTTGATAAAACAGCAATTTGCAAAATAAAACTTATAACAAAAAGCGTCACTTACTACTGCAAGAATCATCCCCAGAAAAATAACGCCAACCATACAATTTAGTATAAGATTGCTCATTTCAGTCGACATCTTCATATCAAATTTTTATAAATACCCAATAATACTTTTTAATATATTTTGATAAAATTAATAACGACACTGAACATCGATGAATATTTTTTAATAAACACATATGACACGTATCATGATAACTCTATCTATTGCGGATTCAGAGTTCGAATAAAATTTCAAGGTTGAATCATTATGACTGGTTTATAGGTGAATTAGTACGATATCTAAAATAATTTTATGATATTTCAACTTGCAGCTTAGTCCCTCGGGCAGCCTGATGTCAAGCAGTAGTGAGATCGGTTTTCCCTTGAAAATATAGATAGCAAGATCTAAATAAAAATAGTCCTTCTTCGTCATTGCTGCATTAATAATAAGCCAACACTAGTACAATTATTTTAATAATTAATTTCACAGTTAGTAATATTACAATTACTATAAATAATTTCGTAAGATAAATTCATCTTTTTTGCAGCAAGAAATCAGAAATAATTAAACAAAATAACAACAGAAATGAAATTAATAACTAACTAAACTAAATGAAAAATACTAAACAAAATTAAAAATGTATCAATTCACAGAGTTTTATTCGAAACTTACGAAATTATCAAAATCTAAATTTTTCATTAAAATGCAATTTATGAGGTTTTGTCAAAAACAGTAAATAAAGTAATACCATAAATCAATCATTTCTCTCATAACAATCATTAATTTTCTTACAATTAGTAACAAAATTTGCCAAAATCATCTGAATAAATGTGAAATTTATTAAATCTATCAATCATCACTTTTATTTGTACGATGTTATATAACTAGAAATAAAAGTTTCAAAAATGCATATACTAGTTTAGGAAAACAAACAAACACACATCTAGTAAAACTAAAAGAAGTTACGTAAAAAATACGACCCATATTGTCGTGCAGTTTTTTCGAATACAAATTTTAAAATTTTAATTAATAAATATTATTTAAAAATTAATTCGAGCGCACAATTTCATGATAATTTTTCAATTCACACGAATAAACTTAAATCCAATATATAAACAGCTTCCTTGAATATCTCTTATCAATTTGATAACATCTGCAATTTATGTAATAATAATATACATTTAACGAAAATTTTCTACTTTAACAAAACACTTCCAGATAAAAATATATCTCACACAAATAAACTGATCGATATAAAAATTAATGATAAAAAATTGATTGGTCGCAGAAATTGGTGATTCACGCGATTGATAAGAAAAATTGCTTATCTTTTGGAAAAATGGATAGAAAACGTTTTGTGTGAGTAATAAAAATATTATAAACTATTAAACAGTTATGAGTAGTACAATAATATACATTTATATTAGGATTTTCATCGGAAAATTCAGCATCATTCTCAATATTATTATTATTTTTTGACGTATAACTTGTTGGTTTATCTTGAGAAACTTTCTTAATGACTCCTATAACTTTTATACTGGATTTCTTTGTTTATTGAACCCTCGAGATTCTTCTTAATATTTCTCACACATTTTCTCCTGGATCTGTCTTTTTTCATTCCGGAAATACTTTTTCTAAACGTATAGGTTTTAATCAAGTATAGATACTTGTTAATATTTTGAATTTGTTTTTCGCTATACGACTTATTCTTACCATTTTTTTAAGAACAAGATAATGTAATTAAAGCTGTATTTGCCTTGATTAAAGAAAATAGTTTTATTTCTTTATAAATACTAACAAAATTTGACACAGAAAGTGTTATCTAACATTCTGAGAGCAATTTATTAAAATTATTTATTCTATCCAATTTTTACAAATTTTAAACCAATATAAAATTTATGTAAATTAATTAATAATTAGATACAATTAAATAACAAATAATTAAATTATATATATACATATAATATTTTGTCTATTTAAGAATATCTAGCCAATTGATTTTTTCAGATTTTTTTAGGACCGTAAAAAGTTGTCCACATCTGTTCAACATGCCAAACAATACTCATATACAATTACTAAGAAGCAAATTGATAACACCTGTTTTATCACATATATAAAAACAATATCAATCGCAAAAACTTCAGCAAAATAATTCAGTTACCATTTCTCACCATGGCTTACAACAAATTAGTTCTCGGCTTAGCAGCCATCGCCGTTTTGGTGGCAGCGGCCAATTGCCAAAGTCACAACATGCTTTGGGGCCAAAGGACAGCCGGTGACAGATTATTGTTCAATTCAATCGAATATGAAGAATTCAAGCCATTGCAAGTGGTTAAAAGAGATGTCAAGTTCCCAAAGGATGGACAATTCAATTATGCCACCATCACCTGCATCAATGCCACTGATCAATATGTGAACGATAATGGAGGTTATATTTCTCTTTTGGAAGGAGGTGAGGAAAATTAATTATAAAATTCATTTTTGGTAATAGACATAATATATAAGATGCAAGGAAGATATTGTTTT